AAAAGCGTGGACGAATTGTCAGTCGTCAGGACCTTTTTGGGGGCCTCCACCTCATCCTCATCCTCCTCCTCGTCATCGTCCTCCCATTCCTTCTCTTCATCATCTTCGGAGCCCTCCTCGTCGCTAGTAGTGTCGTCGTCCTTTGCGTCGTCATCGTCATCCTCCTCCTCCTCGAGATTCTCCATATTGTCTTTCATAAAGTTCCGCATATCCTCCTCTGCCTGCAGCTGCTCGGCGGTCTTTGGTGGACCAGAAGCCTCCTTGCCAGCCTTGGACGTCTTAGTCTTGGGCGACTTGGCATCCTTCGTCTCCTCGGCGTCGTCGATGTTGTCGCCGCTATCCTTCTGTTGCAGCTCTTCCCACTTCTGCTTGTCGACAGCAAAATCGACAGCGAGCGTCCGCCCGTCCACGACCTTGCCGTTGACACCCACGATGGCATTTTCCGCGTTCTTCTTGCCACGCAGGGTAACAAAGCCGAAGCCCGACAGTTTTCCCTTGGAGCTTGGCAGATCGGCAAACTTGACTTTTCCGTACATACGGAAGAGCGCCGCCAGGTCCTGCGACGTTTTTACGCTCCACGGTAGGTTGCGCACAATGAGCTTGGGTGCCTTGCGTGCCTCAAGCATATCCTCCTCGCGCTTCTTCTTCTTGTCGGCAGCCGCCGCGGCACCTGCAATGGCCTTGGCCGAGGCGTTTGTCGCAGTCGGTCGGCTACGCGGCTCCGCAATCTCGAGTCGCAGTCGGCGGCCCTCGAGCAGCTGGTTGTCCAGCTTGGCCTTGGCTTCGGCAGCGTCCTCGGCGTCGGTGAAGGTCACGAATCCATAGCCCCGAGATTCCTTGGTTTTGGGGTCCGTTACGACGGTGGCGTGCTTGACGGGGAAGTGCTCCGAGAAAAACTCGGTCAGCTTCTCGCTGGTGGCAGTCGTCGGCAGCGACCGGACAAAAATCGACCGGCGCTCCTCGACACGAGCCTTCTTATTCGGCGGCGCAGTTATCGCGGCCGACTGGGCGTCGCCGGATTCCTCATGGCGGCGTTCCTGGTCGGCCTCCGCCTCTCTCCGTCTCTTCTGTGTCACAGACTTGGCCATGGTCGTGGTGGTGCTGGCGTTTTTTCGGCTGTCTGCGAAAGAGTGTTGCTGGTAGACACTATCAACTCTTTTTCGAATGCCCAGCTTTTTTCTCTTCAGTGAATACTTTTTAAAGTGGATGCACCAGAAAAATTAAAGTGGGGATGTTTTATCGCGATAAGATATTTCTTGCCGTCACGTGCACAGCTGTTGACGTTCGAGCTAGACTAGTCCCGAAATGGACCAAAATAAACAAGGCGGCACCCTTTGTTGTCATGGCCCACCATCGCCAAACCGGTGCCACGTCTCGCGACAGTAGCACTTCGGTGCATTTCATCCAACAACCACTTTCTCGATACCAGGATACAGTGACTGGGTGTCTGCTTTTTGCATCGCGCATCACACGCCCCCAACAGACAGAACATGCCTGCCCGCACATCAAGGACCTCGCGGGTCTCCAGTGCCCTTTCGCACAAAACATCCTCGACAACACTTGGCCGCCCCTCTGCCGCGTCGCGCGCCTCGTCTGTCAACCTCGACATCCCCGCCGAGCCTGAAGACAATGCTCTGCGTGCAAAGATTGCGCCTGTCTTTCGCGAGGCGCAGAAGAACACGGCCTCGCACCGCAAGCTCGCAGTGAACCTGCGCAAGATCCAGGAGGCTTGCTGTTACGAACCGACGAGCGTCAAGGCGTCAGCCGCAGTGTCGGCCGACTTTCACGAAGATGACTTCAACGAGGAGTTTGTTCGCTGCGTGTACCGCGTCATGCCAGTCAAGAAGTCGGAGCCAGTTGGCGACAAGGTCATTCGCTTCGTCGGCCTGTTCCTTCGCCACGCCATCGAGAAGGATAACGAGCTGCTGGGCGAAGTCGACGAGGATGCTAGCACCATGCCGGAGACCCCTGGCACGCGTCTGACGGGCGTCCTGGTCGACAAGGTCCTCCTCCTTCTGGTCGCCAAGGACAAGTACGTGCGCTACCGCGCCACCCAGCTCATCTCGCACATTGTCAACTCACTCGACGCTATCGACGACGATTTGTTCCAGAAGCTGCGCTCTGGCCTGTTGCGGCGCATTCGCGACAAAGAGGCCATGATCCGCGCGCAAGCCGTCCTGGGCCTGGGCCGTCTTGCTGGTAACTCCGTCGAAGAGGCCCAGGACTCGGACGATAGCGAGGGCGGTGCCGCTGCGATTGGCCTGCTCGACAAACTTCTCGAGGTCCTCCAGAACGACCCTAGTGCGGACGTACGTCGGTCGCTGCTGGTCAACCTGCCGATTCTGCCCAACACACTGCCATACCTTCTTGAGCGTGCGCGAGACTCCGACGCCGCCACCCGCCGCGCGGTCTACTCTCGTCTGTTGCCTGCCCTAGGCGACTTCCGCCACTTGTCGCTGTCAATGCGCGAGAAGCTCCTCCGCTGGGGCCTGCGTGACAGAGACGAGAACGTCAGAAAGGCTGCCGGCCGCCTCTTCCGTGAACGCTGGATTGAGGACTGCGCTGGCCTGCCTGAAGCGGGTGAAGACGGCCAGCCGGCGGAACCTGCGGCGCCCAGCTTTGACGGCCTTCTTGAACTTCTTGAGCGTATCGACGTTGTCAACTCGGGTGTCGAAGAGGGCGTGGCGCTCGAGGCCATGCAGGGCTTCTGGGAGGGCCGTCCCGACTACCGCGATGCCGTCAACTTTGACGACGCCTTCTGGGAGACGCTCTCTGCTGAGTCCGTGTTCATGGCGCGGAGTTTCAACGACTTCTGCCGCAGTGACGACAGCGGAAAATACGAGTGTCTGGTTGAAGAGAAGCTGCCAGAGGTCACGAAGCTCGCGTTCTACCTGGAGCGCTACACTAAGGTGCTTGTCGACGCCATCAAGAGAGCCGAGGAGAAGGAGGTCGACGAGGACGAAGAGGACGAGGAAGAGGATACCGTAGAGCAGGAGTTCATTGTCGAGCAGCTGCTTCACATTGCCCTGACACTGGACTACTCTGACGAGGTGGGCCGGCGTAAGATGTTTGCGCTGCTGAGACAGAGCCTGTCCATCTCGGACCTGCCCGACGAGGTGACGAAGCTGACAGTCAACGTCCTACGCGACATCTGTGCACCTGATGCCGCTGGTGAGCGCGAGTTCTGTAGCGTCGTCCTCGAGGCCGTCGCCGACGTGCACGACACGATTCTCGACGACGTGGACACGAACGAAGCTGCCGAAGACGACAGCTTCCACTCTGCCCGGTCGGAAGTGAGCAGCGACACGACGCCGACCAAGAGCAGACAATCATCCAAGCAGCCCGAGCTGACGGAAGAGGAGGCCCAGGCCAAGGCTATCAAGGAGATTGTCATCAACCTCAAGTGCCTGCACATTGTGCAGTGCATGCTCTCCAACGTCAGCGGCAGCCTCCAGAAGAACGACCACCTCGTGGCTATGCTCAACAACCTGGTGGTTCCGGCCGTACGCAGCCACGAGGCGCCCGTTCGTGAGCGTGGTCTCGTGTGTCTTGGCCTGTGCGCCCTGCTTGATCGGTCCCTGGCCGAAGAGAACCTGGAAGTTTTTATGCGCTTCTACACCAAGGGTCACACCTCCCTGCAGATTACGGCCCTGCACATTCTGACCGACATCCTGAATGTTCACGGCGCGCAGCTGCTTTCCAGCAACCCGGCCTTGCTCCGCGTGTACGTCAAGGCCCTCCGCTCAGGTGCCAAGGCCCCGGAGGTGCAAGCGACAGCGACAGTGGCCGTCTCCAAGCTTCTACTCGGTCGTGTGGTGACGGACCAGGAAGTGGCATTTGAGTTGCTCAAGACGTTGGTCGTTGCTTACTTTGAGCCTTCCAGTTCTACCAACCAGGGTGTCCGCCAGGCACTCAACTACTTCCTTCCTGTGTTCTGCTACTCTCGTGCCGAGAACCAGGCGCTGATGCAGGCTGTGTCGCTGGATGCCCTGCACGCACTCTTCAATGTGCGTGAAGGCCTGGAAGATGACGATGAGGACGTTGATGCCGAGATGGCCAGCCTGGCAACGATCGGTGCATGCTTGGTTGATTGGACGGACCCCCGCAAATGCTTCGTTCCCGGCATGCCTGCGGACGTCGAGAAGAAGAATGTCAACGCCGACGTGCATTTAGACTTTGCTAAGGCCATTCTCGACCGCTTGTACGGCAACGCTAGCAGTAAGACAACCCCAACCCGCCCTTGTTCTATGCCTCCTTTCATTAAAATAAACACGCTACTAACAACTGTACAGAGGAGGAGAAGAAGGCAGTTGCACCACTGCTGGGCAAGCTGTATGTGTCGCCGACGTCGACCGAAGAGAAGATTCGGGCGGTGTACGAAGAGGTCTCGGAAGCAGTAGAGAGCCAGCTGCTGTCGGATGCGACCAGTCGCAATGCGCTCTATAAGATCCATGTCAGCCTCGGCAAGATTGTCAACAACCTCGACCAGGCACAAGCGTCCCACGTTGGCGGCAGCGGCAGTGTCGTGGGGGGCCGTCGCAGCATGAGCCGGGCCACATCGCTGGGAGTAGATGACCGCACCATTCTGGCAGGCAACAACGAGGAACGGACAATCGTGGGCCAGATCAAGGAAGAGGACGAAGACGAGGGTGACGGCGTGTTAGAAGACCTGAATGAGACGGACGTGGATGCAGATGAGATCGGCGACGGCACCACGATACAAATGACGACGGTACAGGCAGACGAAGACTCGCTGACAGATGATCTTCTCGATGATTGATTGGCAGTCAGGTGACGCCAATGTAGTTTTGGATCCACGAGGCTTCTTTCTCTTTGTTTTACCCCCTTGTCTAAATTGGTTAATGTTTCTATGACTTTGAAAATCAAATGCTATCTTTCCTCTTTCTCTCTTGGTCTATCCGCGTCTACAGCCCTTTCTACTAGTTGTATAAATGTAGTATAGTACAGTCATTGTTTATCCAAGACCAGCCAATTACACATTATGGCGTTTGTTTAGAGGAAGTACCCAACCAGTATAACAGCCCGCCAAGGCCCAGGTTGATGCCCAAGTGCATACCCAGGCTCCATGCAATACAGTAGAGATACTTGGGCGAGAAGACGGTCCACACGAACAGGTGTGTCCGCAGTGCCGTGCAGGCAGCCATGACGGCCACGGCGCTGGCCGCCGCAAATACAGTGAGGAGGCTAGCATGCTGCAGCCAGGGACAAGACGGTGACGACGACGAGCGAGTTGTGAGAAGGAGAACCGACGCAACGGCCCAGTAGATGGAGCCGGCCCAGTTGCTGACAAAAATCAGCACACCCACGGCGCCGGCGGAGAAACCGGAGATGCCGTTGTAGGCTGACGAGAGGTCGACGCTCGAGATGGCGTTGGTGCCCCCAAAAGCGAAAAACGAAGCAAATTGCAGGAGCAGCGCGGCCGTGGTGATCTCTGTGGGCGTGAGTTGTTGTTGCTGCGCGGCCAGAAAGCGGTAGATGACGCCAAACAAGAGGAACAGCGGGATGTTGGTAGTGCGGGACTGTGTTACGGCGAGCAGTGCATAGAGCGGGAGGAGAACATTGGTGGCAGGTCGGTTTAGAGTGTTGCCTTGCCGCTTCGAAACGACAATGGAGTAGACAGCCGCGGCGGTCGCAACAGACAGCCCAGCAAAGACGACGCGGGCGCGTGCAATAAGCGTAACCGGCCCGGTGCTGCCGCCATCAATGCGCTCAATCAGCTCGACGAGTGTGCTAGCAAAGCTGGCCACCAGCTCGGGCGAGTCCTCGTAGGTAAAGACAAGCTTGAACGACAGGGCCGAGAGAACAAGGAGAAACACAGCCGGTGCGGTCACAGCGGCGGGGAAGACAACAAGTCCTTGCACCAGTTCAATTGCGATCAGCGCGTACGTAGCCGCAACGACGGTCCAGAGCAGCTGTGGGTTGGGCTGCAAAATGGTCTTGACGAGGTCGGGCTCGCCGGCGAACTTTTGGCCGGTTTGGTTCCAGCTACGGAGAAGACGAACGGCCATGAAGGCGGCGACAACGGTTACTACAGCAGCAACAACGTGCTTCGGCGGCTGCCGGGCGCTCAACGATACACTCCGCCCGCCAATCACCGCCAGCCATGCGGAGGTGGCCCAGTACCAGAAATGGTGCTCCTCCTCGACGTAACTGCTGGCAAACATCATGATGCCATAGGTAATGCTAATGAGGGCAAACGGGGTCATCTCGCCCAGGCCACTGCCTCCGCCTCGCGAGACAAATGCGTAGGTGGCCCCGATGGCGAGGACCATGGAACTGGCAGCAGCGCCCAGGCCCAGGCCGAGCATGGGGATATTGTAGTTGCTGGCCATGCCACTCATTGTCTGTTGGGCATTGCGAAGCCACTGAGAAGCGGTTAGCCCTTGTCCAACCTGCTGTTTCTTTGCTAATTGCTTTCTGTGCTACGAAACCTACCAACATACCTTTATTGTTTTGGTGGCCCATTCATCATAACTCGCGTCGGTCAAGCCACCGCTTTCGTCATCGTCCTCAAGACGGGGCGCTGTACGCACAATGTCGTGCCACGCGCATGCAATTTCTTGGACATGCGTCTGCGGGCTGTTGCACTCTGCTATGGACACCTCTGCGAATACCTCGGGGCCAAACGCAGCCTCTAGAACACGCAGGATCTGGTGCCCATTGTGCATCAGGATCTGCACTTGGTCACGGCGCTCCGACCACAGTGGCAAGAATGTCGGGATAAACGCGCCCAGGTTGTTCTTGGGGGCCGGGAATCCCAGAAGCGCGCCCAGTGTCGGGGCCAAGTCGGACTGCTCGACGGTGTGGTAGAACTGAAAATCGTCTCGTTCGGCGAGAGGGCATGGCAGGAAAGACGCCGCAGAATCAGCCAGTGCTGTCTTGAGCTTCGGGGCGACAAAGAGCAAGGCGGGTGACGTCTCGCCAGCGGACGATGCGCCATGGTTGCCGGCGTCGTTCATGCCGTGGTCGCCCAGCAGGACAAGCAGCGTATTGGCGAGGTGCGGCTGCGTTTCCATGGCTTCGTAGATCTCGCGCACAATGGCGTCCATCTCGTGCTGCTTGGGTACCATATTGGGGCTGCGCGGCCCGCCCTTGTGGCCAATGTGGTCGAGGCCAAGGTAGTGCAGCACCATGAGGCCCCAGTCGGTCTGGCGCAACTCGCGGGGGACGTGGCGCGTGACATTGTTGTCGACTTCGGTAAAATCGGCGACGAAGAAGCTGGAGGTGCCGTCGGCGCGGTCAAAGGTGTCCGGGAACAACTTGAGCCAGGTGTCGTCACCGTAGAGGACAAGCTTGCCGCCTGCGGCGGCACCATCTGCCTGCTGGGTCTGCTTGGCTTTCATCTGAGCCAGCCACGTATCTTGCGAGGCCAATGACGACGACTTGTCGCCCTCGTCGACGTTAAGGACGACATCGAGAAACGAAGGGATGGAGCCCGTGGTGATGGCCTTGATGCGCGGCATTGTGACCGTGGGCGACGTGGCATGTGCCGTAAAGGGCACGGCGGCACCACTGCGGATGAGTCTGTGCCGTGTCAGAGCTGGGCCGGGTGCTCTCCGGGGGGTTAAGGGGGTGGCTCACGATTGGGTAAATTGGAAGCCGCTGTTTGCGACATAGACGAAATCACTGAGAAAAAAGAGGTCAACATGGAGGTTCAGCGAAACACCGTCGACACTGCCAGGTGGCAACCCCACCTCCTCAGGGCATCAACGACCATGAACACGATACGGTCAAAGGGTGCCGGTGCCGGCGGTCCGAAGCCATGATCCTCATATTGCGCGAGGCCAGGCAGCAGCGGTTTGTAGGGGAAGAAGCCCTTGCCGAAGATGCCAATGGCGAGCGGGATCAACAGGTTCGCGCCCAGCAGCAGAAGAACAGCAAGCAGGGGCGTTCCAGCTGCATTTCGAGCGGCCATGTCGGCGATGGCGCGTGAGGGCATACACTAGAAAGGAAAATGAAACGAGTAACCGTTCAATGGAGAATGAGAGGCGAAAGGGGGCAGCTATATGGCGATGGAAGAGGAGCACTCCATCACGGGCAAGCTCGCTCGTCGGTGGCGCAAGGAGAGTGTTTGGCCTTGGCGGGGCCGCAGATTCGTCGTGTCGATTGTCGTCCTACTGTGCCGTCGTGGTCGTCGCGATAAAAGATACGACGTCGAGATGCGTCAGGAACGCTCCTAAATGCTTAAATTGAGACCTCCGTATTCTTAGTGCGATGCAGGGAAGCGACGAGCCGCCATGTAGACGAGACGGGCAGGTGTGGCCAAGGCGCGCTGTCTCATTGGGTTCTGGCTTGACACGAGGTCATGTGACCGAATCGAGGTTCACCTTGAAACAAGACGGGGCTATTATTTTGCTTTGCTTCATCGTACTTTGCACTTGCGCGCTGTTTTGGTAATTCACAGTGGTTTCTGTTGACGTCAGTTTAGGTTTGGATTTTATTGGATAATTTCGAGTCTTTTTAAAAGCCTTCAGTTTATTTCGATCTAATCTGGACCTTTTTTTTGTCCTGTTCTTTCCATCCACCCAGTTTCGATTTGGTTGATTTTCATCAAAAGAAATTAATAATCGTGTAAACTCAACCTTACCGGGCTGCCGGGGTAGCTTCCTACCATGACGCAGCAGAATCTACATAGCTTGACATCTGGCTTTATGGACCCTGCTCAGATACTCAAAACCCGATTCTGAGTGAAGATGGGATTCTGAATGCGAGCGAACGACAGAACTTGAGACAATTTCGAAATCAACAGCATCTAGAAAAGCAGAGTTCGTTGGCTTAGCCCAAGGTAAGCACATGAGCGATTCTGAATTGAGACGAGACAAGAAATGATTCCACAAACGTGAGATGATTTGTGACAAAATTTCCTTGGGTCCAGGCTATCAACCGGTTGTCATTCTTTAAACAAAACCTCACATCCTTCTCCGCATGCCAGATCTGAGCTTCGGTTACGAAACACCATTGTATCTTTTCTCTGTTCCTTCTAGGACACTGGTGACTGAGAACCAAACCACGTTGTGTCGGTCCCTGGCCTGTTTTGATTATCGGAGGTGGCCCAGAAACTAAAAGCACTGACATTGTGTCGTGGCTGAAGTGGTGGTCAGCACGGACTTGAATGTCCGGCCGTGACATTGACACGGCTTTAAAGAATGCAGAGTCCGAATGTCGCACCCAAAATGTATGTTTTTCCTTTGTAAATGCCGGGCCACGACTACGAGTGCATGGTGCCAGACGGCCACAGAGGCCGCACACATACGACGTCAGAAACATTTTGAGAGTGAGAAACTGCAACACACCAGATTGGGGTCACAACGGCCATTTAATTTATGCACCCTGTAGAGCTCCTTTCTTTCCATTGGTAAGCATAATTGTTTCCGTGAGACAGGGACTTAAGCTTTGCTACAGCCGCAGACCACCATGTACAATTAGAAAACATTGTGCATGGGGCATCTTTGGGGCGTGAATGGGGACGCGGACTACTTCGTAGGCTGGTCTGATTGTACAGATTTTTGTGCAAATCACGGATGCTCTACGCTCCGTTATGAGTGGGACCACAATTGTGGGTGAGTTTGGCAAATCGTGCATAAGACACATGGAGCGATGAGCTAGGACATAATGTTACAGCTGGCAGACATGCTCCAACGCTAGAAAAATAAAAGAAAAAAAAAATACGTCAAGAGCATAACTCCGTAGAGTTAAAACAGACAACGTAGAGGGTTTTCACACTCAATACAAGGGAAGAGCAAAGAGCAGACGGGGGACAAGAAAGTAAAGCAATATCAGAACCGCTCCCCCCCAAGAACACCACGGTTATGTTTCCTACCGCCGTTCTCGTCGTCTCATTTGGTCCTCACAATTGGGGCCTTAAAGAAGTTTTCTAAACTGGCGTAAAGTCGGTGTGTGGAGCGTCCCGTCAGATATGCTTTACCGATGCTGAGGCTCAAAATAAATGGGAAAAGTTGAGAAACCCACGCCGGTTTAGAATCAAATATGGATGCCCAAAGACTGAAAACGGTAAACTAAAAGGAACATTAGAGAAACAAATCCACACAATGAACCACAATTATGACCATCATGCTAGACGAAAGATACTGTTATGCCAAGACAGTGCGGACTTTACGGCGATATCTCCACAACAACCGAAAGCTGCTTTGTCAGAACTGTTTTCTGAAAGCATACCGCACAGAGTATGGTATTTACCTAACCCTTGGAAGTGACATAACGACCGGCTGGCTCGGCATGCATTTGGAGGGCTCCGTCGTGTTTCAACGTGCTTCGGGCGTTCTTCAAACGATCTGCAAACATGTTTGCAAAACGCCACGCAAAAGCAATGGCGATATGTCTAATCGCACATTATGTTCGTCGCTACCATGGCTATCCTCTCAGATTCACCGGGTCGTGATACCACGTACGACATACGTTAAAGAGATCTACCCATTTCCCGGCCTATTCTGCCCATGTTACAAATAAATGACACGGGCTAGGCCATTGTGGCCGCGCGAGCCCTATCGTGTTTCGTCACCTCATCAACCACCCTCCTGTCGTGTACTCCACGGCGCTTAGGCCAGCCTGTCGAGTCCAGATGGCTAAACAGGGACGAAACGGGCCTTGACAAGATCCTGATTGTTGGCAATTTCCTGTAGGAATGTAGATACGACAAATCCAATGACATGGGCTTGCTTTCCATGATTCTAATTTTATGCTCAGAAAAAGACTTTGTCCCCAGCAGAGCAAGTGAAAATATGTTGTTTGTTCCAATGGACCACCATAACCACCTTGACCGCCATGACCACGCGTTCCGGTTCAAATTTCCGCCAAAAGTTCCTACCAACCAGACGGGATGCCATACTGGCGGGGGGCTGCAAGAAACGCGAGAAAGAATAAAGTAAGATAGTGGCTCCTCGTTTCGTTCTACGGGACCCGCTTCCTACTTTCCGTCTTCCGTGTCACACTCATCTTTGTGCAGATGGTACCCGGCTTCGTTCCTTCCCTCCAGCTGATAAAGCAACGTCGAAGGAAAGAGGCACAGTAATTACTGTGTGCACAAAGTGTCAGCAACGCACTAGTGTTTGTTTTATGCAAAAGTTAAGGCCGAAGCGCGAGGCAAGTGCTCACTGAACTTCCGTCATCCGTTCACTCCATATTTTTGTGCAAGTTGTGCGCCCACGCGCTGTGTTAGTTCGCAATCCCCCGTAAATTGTACAATTGCGCTTTGCACCTTCCTTGCCTCGCCCTTGAGATCCTGCCGAGTATTCCTACTGTATCTTACTCCTTTCCTTGCCTCTGTCTTCAAGACGGCCCACAGCGGAGCGGGACCCCCCAAAAACAAAAGTCGCAAAACAAAAACCACAGAAATCACCACGGACCCGGTGCCCGACCCACGACGCACGCGGCATGCGCCTGGCCCTTTTGCTGTTTATCTTGTTGTGCTCGCTTGCCGTCCTCCTGCCCCCTTCTGTCCAGTTTTATATATAAGCAGCTTACATCCGTCTGGTGCATCAACTTCGCTCTCTTTGTTTGTCCAGTTTTATGAAATGTATCCTTGACCATCTGCCTCGATTGGCTTCATCTCTCCTTTTATTGTCCTTCTTTTACTTGCTAGAATGTTTGTATAACCGTTTTCAGACACCGCCGCATCATTCCCACTTTGACATCATCGCATCTTATATCATGGTCAGCAGCTTCCAGCTTTGAGTCTACGACAACACCTATTCAAATTTGCTTCTGTGTGACTGTTGCCACCAGACACTGCTCTGATACGGCCTGATCTGTCTTCTCCGTCGACTGTGCTCACCACGCACCTGAGATTTTCTCTTTCTACCCGGCACAAACATGCCCGCAGAAAACCCATCGCCGGCGGCCGCGGTGCCTTCGGCGGCATCCTCCGTCACCGCTCAAGCCACATTCCCCGGGACACCGCAACGCGACCTCGAGACCGGCGCCATGGCCAAGCCAGAACCCTCACCGGTGTCACCAGCTGCACCTACAAAGGTCTCCCACTGGGACATCGTCTTCCGCCCGTCCGGCCTGACCCCCGAGATGCTCGCCCATCATTACCCCGGCGACGGCACCGAAGAGTCGCCCTACGTCGTGTCCTTCCTGCCTGTCGACCCTCGCGACCCGCAGCAGGTCCCCAAGTGGAAGAAATGGACGTACACGCTCATCATGGCCTTAGCAACGCTCGGTATTGCCTTTGTCAGTACGGCTTATACTGGTGGCCTGGCCGAGGTCATGGCCACCTTCCACGTGTCCACTGAGCTGTCCATCCTCGGTATCTCGCTTTTCGTGCTGGGATTTGCCATCGGCCCGCTCCTCTGGGCACCGTCCAGCGAGTTCTTCGGCCGCCAGATTCTCTTCGTCCTCACATACACCGTCTTGACCCTCTTCAATGTCGGCGCCGCCGTCTCGCAGAACATTCAGACGCTCATCATTATGCGCTTCTTTGCCGGTGCCTTTGGTTCCTCGCCCCTGACAAACGCAGGCGGCGTCATTGCCGACCTGTTCTCGGCCAAGGAGCGGGGCCTGGCCACGGCCGTGTACGCCGCTGCTCCGTTCCTCGGCCCCTCCTTGGGCCCCATTGTTTCTGGTTTCCTGGGCGACGCTGCCGGCTGGCGCTGGGTCGAGGGTCTGATGGCCATCTTCACGGGCGTCATGACGATCATGGGCGGCCTGGTCGTACCGGAGACGTACGCGCCGGTTCTGCTGCGCAAGCGTGCGGCCGCACTGTCCAAGCACACTGGCAAAGTCTACGTCTCCAAGCTGGACATGCACCACCGCGTGGCCGGTGCCAAAGGACCCTCCATGGCCACGCAGTTCCGCACGGCTCTGTCGCGGCCTTGGATCCTGCTGTTCCGAGAGCCCATTGTCTTTGTCTTGTCCATCTACATGGCCATCATCTACGGCACCATGTACATGATGTTCGCCGCCTTCCCAATCATTTTCCAGCAGGGCCGTGGCTGGTCTGCCGGTATTGGCGGCCTGGCCTTTTTGGGCATTGCAGTTGGCATGGTCACGGGCGTATCGTATGCCATATTTGACAACCGCAGCTATGCGCGCAAGGTCGCGGCGTCGCCTGACGGCACGGCGCCGCCCGAGGCGCGTCTGCCTGCGGGTGCCATTGGCTCCATATTGCTGCCCATTGGCCTGTTCTGGTTCGCATGGACCAATGCGGCCCCCGTCCACTGGGTTGTGCCTATCATCGGCTCTGGGTTCTTTGCGACTGGCATTGTCCTCGTCTTTTTAAGTCTGTTTAACTACCTGATCGACTCGTACGTCATCTTTGCCGCCTCGGTGTTGGCTGCCAGCACAGTCATCCGGTCGCTCTTTGGCGCTGCTTTCCCCCTGTTCACAACGTGTACGTTTTGGATCTTGTCGTCCCAGGTATAAGTACAAGAATGAACCCAGCTAACATTGCGTCATCGCAGACATGTACAAGAACCTGGGTGTCCACTGGGCCAGCTCGATCCCTGCTTTTTTGGCCCTTGCCTGCGTTCCCTTCCCCTTCCTGTTCATGCGCTACGGCAAGGCCATTCGCATGCGCTGCAAGTATTCCGCCGAAGCTGCCGAGGTGCTTCAACGCATGCGTGCCGACCAGATGCAGCAGCAGCAGAGCCCATCTGGTCCCGAGGAAGAGAATGACGCGGTTGACGAGGACGACGCCTTTGCTGAGGCCGATGCGCACGAAGCCCAGCAAAACCGCGAGCATGGCCTCGAGAAGCAGGCCACCAGCACCGAGGGCAAGGCCCTGACTCCGGAAGGTGCCCTGGCCAGGACCAGCCGCAACGTCTCGGACGACGACAACGCCGATTTCAAGGAGAAGTCGTAGGCGCGAGTGAGAAGGTGGCGTGGACATGATGGAAGCAGCAAGCAAGACGCGAGACGAGGCAAGTGATGGGACAATATACCCACTGAGGCAAGATGGTTCGGCATTTTGGGCGGCGTTTTTTTTTGTTGTACAATGCGTTTTGGATCATAGAACATTGGGAAAACCACTCAGTCTTAGACATCATTTTGTGATTTGGGCATTTTGGTCATCTTCTTACAATCTGCTAAACTTTACGCCATGTATGGTTTACGTCTTTCTATGACTTGTGTCGCCTTTCTCGGTGTGATACGTGATACACCGCCGGTCACCATGAGACAATGTTCTCGAGAACGACAACCGGCCCGAGCCGAGTCGTCGGAGCGTCCCTGGTAGCTTGTGCTTGTAAAAGAACAATATGATTGATTGATGCTGCGGTTCTACGACACGACGTGCTGCCGTCAGAAAACGTCGTCGCCACCCGGTCGTAGGACAGACACAATGGCATACATGTACTCACGCCGCAAAAATATCGTGCTCGCCCATCGGCGCCGATTTCCGTGATACACTATCTCAAAAGGTGCTGCTGACTTGGCGCTGATCAAACAAGATGGTAAGCAAGGGCCATGCAAGGAGGCCCAGACCGTTGGGGAAGCAAGGAAGCTCCGTGGCAATGTGGCCGAGACAGACGGGTGCTACGGTCATCAGTATGCGCGCATGTATGGCGTAGGTGGGCAACTGGTCCTGTAGACTGTTCGTGTCGTACAAAGTACATTGCACCTTCTTCTTTGTCCTCGAATGCACAGTAAGCATGTGAGGTGAACTGGCCAAACGGATCGCCGCTCTGCGGGCCAAGAAAGGGTCAACTATGTATGTATGCGTTGTCAAGTCTTGTCACGGTCAGCGTCGGGTGATCTAAACCAAACGAGGAACATTGACGCAGGTCGTCTAGACGGCCTACATGCAAAAACAAAAAAAAAATAAGAAAAAAGAAAACGAATGCCCTCTCCGCAACGCCGACACCAAAAGGCCTCGAACTCGAGCAAATAATGTCTCACTTGTTGATCTTTCTTCGCGGTCTTGACAAGCCAATATCGAGTTTTCATGGTCAGCAACTTGCTTCGTGAGAGGTAAGCAGGTTGGGAAAACAGCTTGCTGTTGTCTCAGAACAGCCCTCTCCTCACCACGTCTGATGTGCTCTGCCTATTCTTCTCGCCGCCTTGCCAACGAAACAGACAAAAGTACCTTTCTCGTCCAGTCCCGCTTACTTGCTTTGCTCACGGTGAATATCATGTCATGCCTTGCCATGGGGGATGCTATGCAATGCAAGGAGCCTTGCATTGCATTGGCACCAGTGACCAGGGCTACTCGCTTCAGCCGACTTGTCCAGTCGATTGGTTGACAGCTCTCGAGAGCGGCCCCCCCACCTGTTATGACAAGATGTACTATTATCTCACCTGGCGCTCGCTGGCCGTATTCCGGTCTTTTTTTTCTCTTTTGCTCGGTTTTGTGTGGTCTCCTCCTGCAAGTCTTGTCCTGGGCTAGCGTCTGCCACATCGAAGGAACCCGCCGAACTGCATGCACTGCGCCTGCCGCGGCATCGAGGCACTCCCTCACTTGGAGTACTAACCGCACAAATTGGTGTCCTCCCGTGCGAGGCAAACCGGAGCGCAATCCATAGCATGCTGGGCAGAAAAGAGTACGGTTCAGCTCGTGCCATGTTGCCGCTCGTCTTGCCAACCATGAGAAAGTATTTTGCCGACTTCGTTTCCATGTCTGTTGGTTGTTTCCCTTCTTTTTCCGGATCTGTGGACACAATGTCGTCCCTGAATGTTGTAGTACACAACCATTGTCTGCCTTGAATACCGAGAGCACGCCTTGGGACACGTTCAAGGGCCGCATGACCTCCTAGTCACGAGCTGGGAATTTTGTTCCGGCGTAAAATAAATTTGTGCCGGAGCCAAGTGGCGTGTTTCTGCCACCGCCTTTGTTTGAATGTTAACAAAAAAGTCGCCAACAGTGACATATTTTCCCAAAGACGATTCGAGCCCGTTACAAACGCACAACTCTCTTTCGCTTGTTGTTCTAGTTTCTGGGCACTAATCTGTTAACAGCATTTCGCCGTTCACCATCGACTTAGGCGGGGGATTAACCTTTATTCTTTCTGGTTTGGGTGCTGCTTCTAGTAAGTGTCTTGTGAGCTCAGACCCTGTCTCTGCCCTGTTGATGATTAGCATCGGCGCTCCTTCACTTTACGGGCCGCTCGGTTGTGCCCGCGACAAAACCGCTAATTTTGTGTCACCTGTTCTGTACTGTTGCTTTCTTTTTGTGCTTTCCTGTCATTCCTTTTCTCTTCCACTTTCTCAGCCTCTTTGAGCGCTATGCCTTAATTCGCACTTGCAGTCGAAAAATAGTTTCGTCGTATGTTGCATTTGGAATCCTTCCTCCTCATTCCCAGCCCCCCCTGACCCTGTCTCTAGAGGATCCCGCCGCCAATATGGAACCCCTTGCCACCGATTCGCACCAAAATGTTTCTTTCCTTCTGTGTCCAAGCTTCGAAGCCAAGACAAGCACGTCCCCATGTCTCGACGAGAAGGGGCAAAATCGTGTTGGGACATACGAAAAAAATAGAAAAATAAAAGGTGTTCTCCAGCGGGAAATCGCAGTGGCGATCGTCGCTAGGATCTCTCTACGCTACTCCTAGTTCTGGGCGCACCTTTCTTTGGCAAGGGATTCCATAACCAAAACGTTAGTGAAAGAGACTACAACTCACGTCGTATGTCGTACTCCGTTTCGTATTGATGAATGAAATTTGACAGCTGTCTGTGGCTAGGCCCCGGTCATGCAATCCACCCATATTCCGCCACGTTAATAACAAAAGAGCACATGGCAAATAAAACATCAGAGTAAATATCCTTCCAGTCAGCCCTTAAAAAAGAGCTTTACACCACAGGGTAGACCAGCTTGCGGGCCCGCACACGACCCATGCGCAGGTCTTCAATGCCCTGTGTGACGGCCGACAGGCCTCCCGTCCGCAACTCGACCGGGTGCGGCTTCAGAGTTCCGGCAGCCAGCATGCGCTCCACGAGACCAAACAGGCGCGATGTGAACAGCCGGTCCTGCGGGCGGGCCGGACGACCATACGTGCCAGCCAGCTTGACGGCCTCGCCGAACAGAGTGGGCCCCATGATCCAGTCCGCTTGGACCTCGCGGCGGGAGTATTGGATGCGCGTCGGGAAGGGGTCGAGCGCGATGTAACGGCCGCCCGCAGAGCCAATGGCTTCGTAGGACAGCTTCATGGACTCGGCTTGGGTGACGCAGTCGATAACATGAGCGAGGCTGTTTTGGGTGTAGTTGCGAATCTCCATGCCGCACGACGCGTTGTGGTAGTCGAACGTCTCGACGGCACCGAGGGCGAGGAGCATATCGCGGTTGTCGGGCGAGCACGTGGCAATTGGGGCAAGGCCGGAGCTGTTTCAAGAAAGTGTCAGTGAAGGGGCCCATGAATGAAACGCCACATGCGTTTGGGACATCCATAAATAAACTCACGCTTTGAGCAGCTGAATGGCAATTGTGCCCGAGGCCGATGCACCGCCGGAGACCAGCACGTAGGTGGGCTTGGCGGCTGCTGTCTCGGCGTCGGGGCGCGGCTCGACGGAGGGAAGGGGAAGCTGCAGGGTCTGGTAGAGTGCCAGGCCGGCGGCGTAGGTCACGACGCTCAGCCCGGCGGCGTCCTCGTAACTCATGCTCTCCGGCAGGCGGACGACCATGTCGACGGCAACGGGCACGTACTCGCAGAACGCACCGGCTTTGCTGCGGGCCATCGGACTGTCCTTGTTGCTATCGTCGATGATGGCGCCAAAAAGGCCCGGAACAGGTGCCAGCACACGGTCGCCGACTGCGAAGCCTTCGACGCCGGCACCAACCTGCACGACGTCACCGGCAAACTCGTGGCCACCAATAAACTCGGCCGTCGCCGAAAAGTCGACCATCTTCCAGTCGGCCGGGTTGAGGGCAACGGCCTTGACGGCGCAGAGCAGCATGCCGGGCGGTGGCGGAGAGACGACCTGGACGCCCTTGGCAAGGAGGTACTCGCCAGCGCCGGCACAGACCAGGGCCGTCTGCGTCGTAGGAGTGGATGTGTTGGTCATGGTCGTGGGCTTGATGGGGATGTTGGGGAAGATGGGGAAGATGCTGGAAAGGATGCTGGGGAGGATGTTGGGGAGGATGCTGTTGATGACTTGAAATGTTGAAGAGGAGAGGAGATGTGTGTATTGGATATTTGGGCATTTGATCAAAATCTGCGCGCAGCTGTGCTGGCTGTGGCGATCTCCTGACTTTTTGTTGACTTTCCGCTCAGACTCAGGAGCTGTTCGTTGACGCTTATCAGAGCGATAACACCGTTCGTCGTGCCATTCACCTGTGACGGGTCCCTTATTCTCGGGGCTCAGGACGGCTGCTGGTACAAAAGTACAAGAGATATGCACCTGCAGCAGCGCCTGCTGGCATCTCCTCCCTAGTCTTCGCCCTGCCTCCGGCTTTTACCTCTTGCCACTCCATTACAACCGTTTGCATCTTGGCTGCTCGATCGGAACCTAGAACTCGCCGGGAGAGGTTACGAGATGGCATGCTGTCGGACAAGGGACACGACGTATGACAATCGACGTACCACAACGCCCCGCTCTTCTTTTGCATCTCTTTCCGTTGTAATTAGAAAAAAAACACGAATTAAATAAATCGACTGACGCCAATAGAATCGACGGCTGGACACACCATTTCGTGCGGCAGGACTAAATTTCACAAGGGACACTGGGCGGCGACGACGGAGGTCGATGGAGTGAGGGGGAGGGGTGTATGTCTAGCAGCTTGTCGTTATGCGACCTGGTCTGGCCTTGCATCGCGCAACTTCGTTTTCTTTCTACCCCGTCTTGTCTCACTGGGTTCTTACAGTCCTATCCCATCGTCTTGGCTCAACATTCGTTCTTATTTCGTGCCTTGGTTCTGGGCTTTGGCCGAGTCTTGGTGTAGGGTGATTTCCCGTTCGTTCCGTGTAAGCTCATCGTTCCGAGTGAAGGTTCTTTTTGTTTTTCTTTTTGTTTTTCTTGTTGCAAGTTTGATCCAAATGCTGGGTGTTACATTCATGATGTAATGTGTATTTTATTTATTATTTTGTATTTTCGCACATTTTGCTTTTTTGCGTCCACTGTTGTCAGGTTAGCTGCTGCTACGATCGCTCCTGCCCTTCAGGTTAGGTCATTTTTTCGAAGTGGAGGGAAGGTGGAGGCGACCCATTTCAAACTAGCAGTTCTTATTTCCTCGTTGGTCTTGTATTTCTATTCCGCCGTCTTTGCCTTCATTCTCAACTGCCCAATGTGAATTAGGGAAACCGAATATCGAGGCGGATGGTGGGAATACCAATTAGCACTCTTTCATCTGCCCGGTTCGCTGGCTCTCCTCCGTCAGTATGATGCCGTATACTCCTGCAGACACAAGCTTCAAGTCCGTTCCTTCTTAGTGCCAATTCTATCCCGCTCTTTCCCCTCCCTTCATGATGCGCTTCTTCGCACCTTCCGTATGAATTTCTGCCCCCACCCTCGCTCTTTCCTCTGGGCTTTTCTCGTTTGCTCTCTTCAACTGCCAGCTCCTGCCTCCTGACTTCCAATTCCTCGTCGAGGCACTTGCCAAGTTTTTTTTCTCTTTCTTTTTGTTTCTGCCTTTTCTCTCCTCTGCAGTTTTTCGTATTCTTTTTCTTCTGGTCCTCTTTGTCTCATCCTCGTCCCTCTTCACTGTCGCTCAAACGGGATTTCGTCATTTTTCCTCATTCTCAACAGCGGTCTGCACAACCCTGGACCTTGCCCGAAGGCGGGCCCCGGTTATCCCCCGTTCGGCGGCCCCGGTTTTCTTTGGCCTCCATTTTCGTCTCTTCTATTGACTACTTCGCTTCTTTGCCTCGCCCACAACCTCATCCTTCCCTGTCGCCCCTCACACTCGACCTGTCGATGCCAGTCTGCCCCGTCTCGTAGCTCCGACTCTGTCTCTCCAACTAGCCTGATTTGATTATCGAAACCCGCTTTTCGGTTTGTCCTGTATCGTTCTTTGTCGAATTTGACTTCCTCAACCTCCTCGTGTTTCTACGTACAGAGGTACTCTCACATTCAACTCATCTTTCGTCGTCTCGCAGCACTGGCACGCCTTACTTCGTCCTTGGAATCCCCAAACAGAGTCGACCTGTTCAACTGACCCGGAATTAGGCCCTGTATGGGGCGGCAGGCAAAGCAACTTGCGTTGCTGCCTTGACCGCTCGACCTGCAGCGGCCTGTCCCATGGGCCACATCTCATGAATGCTCCTGTCTTTCCACTTTCTCAGCAGTCTGCTGGCCGACCACTTTCCCCCTCCATATCCCTGCTGTTTTTGTTCCAATAGACTCGTGACTCCGCGGAGAGGTGCTTACCTTGACGAACCGACCGTGATCGCTTCCACAAGGTGGTCTGTCTTGAATGGCACGAGAAGTCGTCAAAGTCACGAAAAACTGTGCGAATATCTGTGCTAAAGTCCACCCCTCCCCCCCTCCTCTTGCAAAACAGCGGTGTCGTATCATCTTGACATGCAACGACCCTCTTCATGTGTGATCGATAGCTACCTAAGATAACTTGGTGCATCATGTGGCCATGTGGCCTTCCATGATGATGTTATCTGGTACCGACAGACGCGGTTATGTTTTTGCCCTTCGATAAGCCCTTTCGCCGGCACAGTGCCCAGCGGACCACGTCCACTTTCGACCGAGCGCCGTTGTTGCATCATACTTTGCTTACAGCGTATACTCAGTACGAAGTACATGTTGGATCTGCGACGTTCGTTGAGCTGAGGTTTAGTTCGAGTGCAACATGCTGACCTGGCCCCGCTGCCAACGCCAACCATGGCTCAAGATGAAAAGTGTTAACGAGTTCAGTGCGTTAGGCCGTGCAGTCTTAACGACGGATTGCTCAGTGTTTCTTCTTACCCTGTACGCTATGGAGAATATTATTTGTTGGACGATGCAGTTGTAGTGAAGACCACGGACAATCCCGGGCCTGTTCTTCCTCCTACCAACACCTTGAGATTTTCCTCTTCAGTTACCCCAGTTCGTTTCTTCTCGTGCATTCATTTTCACATATGTACACCGTGATTCTTGGTCCTTTTGCTTGCCCTTCGTCTTTTGATTCTTTACCTCTTTCCCATTTCATCACCGGTGTCAAATTCTTTCATTTTCGTTGGCCAATGAGTCTCTGCCCCGATTCCATATTCCCCTGGCCCGATTCCTCGTCCTCTTGATATTTGGGGGCCGATTCTGGCCGAGTTTTTTTTTCCTATTCGTCCTTTTTTTTGTTGAAATCCCGCCCCTCTGCCATTTTTGTGCCCAGGCCCGCCCCCAACCTGGGGTGTCCGTACCCTCGGTTCGACTCACTCCTACCCTCCTGTTTGTATGTGCATGGGATTTGGTTTCCTGGCGGGTTCTTTTGCCCCAATCCGGCGGCCATGCTGCTTCGTCATCCCGTCGCCGCACATAGCTCGCTACCGTCTCCCCATCGGGCCAGCCTGCTGTCTCTTCTCACCTTTACTTTCTTTGTTGGCTGACTTTCCTGCAATGGGATATCCCGAACTGTCCGTGAACACCACACTCCTTTGCGGTCATTGTGGACCAACCCCTCCCCCCTCTGCTCTCCTCTTGCCACTGTTTCTCTTATCCCACACACTTCCCACGCCAGTTCTACGCTAAGGCCGCATAATGGACCGCATATCAAAATCTACCACAGAAATTTGAGTCCATCAGAATGCAGCTAGACATGCATGATCAACGTTAGCCTCACGTCTCCAACACAAAACAAGGTGCGCAGTGACCCAAGGCGGCACCCAAGAGAGGGCCAGAAACGAACAGGATACGTCGTTGACAACGCACCGGACCGTTCTGCAAGGTTGGTCTAAGATGTTGAGCCCAGCCAACCAGAGGCCAATGCGGTCAAATCATCTGCAAAACCAAAAAGGGTCTCCATCGTAGTGCGAGGGAGCAGCATTCTTACGTGTCAGAATCCAAGAAATCTCAGAAAGAACCAGCAATGGTGAAAACCAGCCAAGCACCAATGATGGGGTGTGTGGCGACCCCAGACTTGCTGCAGTGCCGTCCTTTTACAATCAGTCTCGTAAACGACCCCCAAGGAGTATGGGAGGTAAATAAGTGCTCATGTCAGTGAGGTGAGCAGGTATCTCATTTGAGGTCATTGGTCTGATAATGGCGCATTCTCGTGTCCTACCCTTACATGGCCCTCTTGAAGGACCTCGTGATGGAGTCGTTTATCGATGTATTTGATTTTCTGATCTCTTATTTCCGTCTGTCCGTGTATCCCTTCTCTTGTATGATTTGTGTTTTGTCATGCTTTGTCGTACTTGTTCTTGCTCAGCCGTACCCGCCGTCGGATGTTCTTCCTGGAATGGTTGCCGGCATTGCGGATCCCGGTGGCGTTTCTCATATTGTTTTACTATTGTCCTAGGCATTGTGATTTTGATTTTAATTTGCCGTTGGTTCCGACTCATTTTCTCTATGTTGATGATCTTGCTTCCTACCGTTGTTTGCTGTTTCACACACTTCTCCTAAAGGTGCTTTGAATTCCCAGAAGCTGGTTCGTGGCGATGTACAAGCATGTCGATCTTGATGCCCGTCTTACTCTACCTCCTTCCCGACCTCGGCTCTCACCGTTCCTTCAGCTTGATTACGAACTGTATATGGGCTTCGGCTTCACACCCTACGACGTCGTACTCCCGGACGGGGACTTTTGATTTTCTTCACCGTTGCCGTCTTGTCCTAGTGCATCTCGTATCTCTATCCCCTTTCCATTCTGCCCCGTTTCTCTACGCTAGGTTCGGCGGACGACTGAACTGAGCGACAAAAGGACCCCTCATGGAACCTTTTGTCAAGATAGAATTTTGTTGTCTGTTAAGACTGGTAGCCTATGAGCCTGCCTGCTCGTCCAGGGGGTTTATTTAATCTGATGGAAGTGGCCGTACATCCCACATCCAGAAGCGGAGGGGGGTGTTTGTATAAGTGGACCCTGCTTCGTGCTCTTTTCCTCTTTTGGTCTTATAAGCGGCACCGTTTACACAAAACCAACAGGAAGCACCATTTTGGTATCTCCTTCGACGAGGACACCTACCGGGACTTGCATACCCACTGCATACGCCTGTTTTGTCCGCCTCTGTCCCACCGGGTCTCTCTGCCCATCGAATGCACTCGTGCCATAGCCCACTCCAATGCAGCTTTCCCTCTTCACAAGCTTCATGGTTTGCCACGATCTGTTCATAGGCTGTCGGTAGCTTTTGTAGCTTGGCCGTAGCTTGACCATACATTCCCCACCAGAGCACGTATCATGCATCAGACTCAGGTCCAAGCTCGATGCGTTGCTCGTTTTATTCTCCAAGGCCTCCTAGCTCTAGCTTCTCCCTTCAGTCTTGACCTTTGCTGGCTCTTACCCTACGTTGATACTTTCCATCTCCTTGGTGTTTCATTATCTCGTTTTCGCCTTCCTTATATCGTGACTGTCTTCTCTCTCACCTTTCTTGCACCATCCGCTCACTTTTTTATCATATATCTATCAGAACGCCCTCACTCTTCGTCGCTATACACCGTCACTTCTCGTCCTCCTTCTTCTCACCTTGTTCTCAGATTTTGGGTCTTCTTTGTCTAGCGTTTGACCTTTTCTTGCTCTTCTATTTTCAATTGCCTCCCCCGCCCAAGTCTTATTTATATCTCCTTTTTGTCCCCATCTGGTTGCACCTTCTTCACAGTTTTTACTTCACATCTACAAGTCAACATGGCTGAGCGAAGAAATATACCGGAGCCTATAGCCGTGGTGGGAAGCAGCTGCCGGCTCCCCGGTGGCGCATCGACACCGTCAAAGTTGTGGGAACTTCTCAAAGAACCACGGGATCTCCTCAGCGAGGTGCCCAAGAGCCGTTTCCATGTCCAGAGCTTCTACCATCCAGACGGCGAGCACCACGGTGTAAGTTAAAAATCACCTTACCGACTATACGCAGATACGCATTTATAGACGTTTTACTGACAAATACAATGTCCCTTTTCGACCAATAGGCCACTAATGCCACGCAGTCGTACTTTCTCGACGAGTCGGAAGACGTGCGAACATTCGACTATAACTTTTTCAACATCAACCCACGCGAAGCCGAGTCCATTGACCCGCAGCAGCGTATGCTTCTCGAGACTGTGTACGAGGGCATGGAGGCGTCGGGCTACTCGATCCAGAGCCTCAAAGGCTCGGATACCTGCGTGTTTGTCGGCCAATCGTCGGACGATTATACGGCGATGCTGCAACGCGACCTGGAGACCATTCCACACTACTTTGCCACGGGCGTGGCAAGGTCCATCATGTCCAACCGGCTGTCGTACTTCTTCGACTGGAAGGGCGCATCCGTTTGTCTGGACACAGCGTGCTCGTCGAGTCTGATCGCGCTGCACTTGGGCATCCAGGAGCTGCGCAATGGCACGTCCAAGCTGGCCGTGGCTGCTGGCGTCAACCTCATTCTGGGGCCTGAAGTCTACATTATGGAGTCCAAGGTGAGCACCGCCCCCTCGGTCGCAGTCAGGTTTGAAAAGCCCAGGGAATCTAACGGTCTCTAGCTGCACATGCTATCACCCACGGGCCGTTCACGGATGTGGGACGCCGGTGCAGACGGTTACGCTCGTGGCGAAGGCTGCGTGGCTGTGTTCCTCAAGACACTCAAGCAGGCTTTGGCGGACGGCGACCACATTGAATGCATCATCCGCGAGACGGGCATGAACCAGGACGGCCGCACGCCCGGCTTGACCATGCCGAACCCAAGCGCGCAGACGGACATGATCCGCGCGACGTATTCACGGGCCGGCCTCGATATTACAAAAAAAGAGGACCGCTGCCAGTTCTTCGAGGCCCACGGAACAGGCACCAATGCAGGCGACCCGGTGGAAGCCGAGGCAGTCTACAATGCCTTCTTCACACGTCCCCCAACCACAGGGTCCGGACCAGCAACGCCCCTTGCCACCGGCGATGACGAACGTCTGTACGTTGGCTCGATCAAGACTGTCATCGGCCACTTGGAAAGTGGTGCTGGTCTTGCAGGTTTTATGCGGGCGTCGCTGGCTGTACAGAACGGCATCATCCCTCCCAACATGCATTTTAACACACTCAACCCCAAGATCGAGCCATTTTACCACCGGCTCTGCGTGCCGACGCAGGCACTTCCTTGGCCCAAGCTGCCGGAAGGCGTGCCGCGGCGTGCCAGTCTGAACAGTTTCGGTTTTGGCGGTTCCAATGCCCACGCCATCATCGAGAGCTGGGATAGCGCACCCGAGAACAAGGTCAACGCGTCATTCAAAGCTGGAACACAAGACGCGGCATCTGATGCCCCCCTTGGCCCGCTTGTCTTGTCGGCCAACTCGCAGGGTGCTCTTGTGGCCTCCGCGTCTGCACTTGCCGAGTACCTCGAGAAGGAAGAGACCAACGGCGCCAGCACATCTCTCGGCGACCTCGCCTGGACGCTGCAGAACAAGCGATCCGAGTTTGCCTACCGCGCCTATGCAACAGGTACGACGCGTGCCGAGCTGCAGGCCAGCCTTGCCGCCGGTCTCAAGGCGGTCCAGAACGCCGAGGCCGCCTCGTCGAGCACCAACTCGTTTATCACCGCGGCCCTGCCCGTGACTGCACAGCTGCCGCCACGCATTTTGGGCGTCTTCACAGGGCAAGGTGCGCAGTGGCCCGCCATGGGTGCTGCGCTCTATGCCCACAGCACTCTCTTCCGCCGCTCGCTGCAGCAACTCGAGGCATCGTTGGCCCAGCTCCCCGTCGAGACCGACCGTCCTCCGTGGTCCCTGACGGCCGAGCTGCTCAAACCAGCCGAAACGTCCCGCATCCGCGAAGCCACATTGTCGCAGCCGCTCTGCACCGCTCTCCAGATTGCACTGGTTGACCTGCTGCGTGCTGCCGGTATCGAGTTCAGCGGCGTCGTCGGCCACTCGTCGGGCGAAATTGCGGCCGCCTATGCCGTGGGCTATCTCTCGGCGTCGGATGCCATCCGCATTGCCTATTACCGAGGCGTACATGCCGTCAAGGCTCGCGACGGACCCCAGCCGGGCAAGATGATGGCTGTCGGCATGTCGTACGAGGCGGCAGTGGCCTTTTGCGGCGAAGGCACGCCGTTTGAAGGCCGCATCGTGGCAGCTGCCAGCAACTCGCCTTCGAGCACGACGCTCTCGGGCAATGCAGATGCCATTGACGCGGCCGAGGCGCAGCTCAAGGCCGACGGCGTGTTTGCGCGCGCCCTGCAGGTCGACACGGCGTACCACTCGCATCACATGCAGCGCTGCTCTGAGGCGTACCTCGCGAGCCTGCGGCAGTGCAACATTTCCGTGCTGGCGCCACCCGTGGCCCCGGATGCCGGATTCGTGTGGTTCTCGAGCGTGCACGGCGCCGACGGCCGCAGCATCTACGAGCCAGACACGTTCCGCGACACGTACTGGGTCGACAACATGGCCAAGCCCGTGTTGTTTGCGCAGGCACTTGACCGCGCCGTCACCGAGTCGCATTGTTTTGATATGGTGCTGGAAGTAGGCCCCCACCCGGCGCTCAAGGGCCCCGCCAGCGAGGTCCTGCGTTCGGTCACCGGTGTGGACCTTCCGTATACGGGTGTGCTCGCGCGCGGAAGCAACGACCTGGCCGCTTTTAGTAATGCGCTGGGCTTCGTGTGGAGCCACTTCCAGTCACCTGCCACCGTCGTCGATTTTGAGGCCTTCCGACGTGCATGCGTTGGCGAAGACGACGACCACACTGGAAGCGCCCATGCCCCGACGGCCCGCCCGCCCCGCCTGGTGCGCGACCTGCCCACCTACGCATGGGACCATGACGTGCCTCTGTGGAAGGAGTCCATCCTGTCCAAGAAGTACCGCCTGCGCGAGGACCCTACCCACGAGCTGCTCGGCTCCATGACGTCTGCCGGCAACAACCAGATGATTCGCTGGCGCAACGTCATGAAGATCACCGAGCTCGAATGGCTACGCGGCCACGTCTTCCAGAACCAGATCCTGTTCCCCGCTGCCGGTTACGTGTCCATGGCGGTGGAAGCGTCCATGCACTTAGTGAAGAACCAGGCCGCCCTGACGGAGCGTGGGCTAATCGCCCAGATTGTCGAGCTGCAGGACCTCCGCATTCACGCCGCCATCACCATTGACCCGGGCGCAGCGGGCACCGAGGTCATTTTCGTGATCCGTGTCGTGGACCAGCCGGACGCAGGCGCAGACGCCACCTCCCTTGTTGCCGAATTCAGCTGCTACAGCGGCAGCGTCGACGGTACTACGACGGACGCCGAAAAGGTCAATTTCACCGGCCGTGCTGTCGTAGCCCTGGGCCCTGTTGCCGAAGCCGACCCCACGGTGCTGCCGGCACGCGCGCCGCCTGTGCTGCCCATGTCCGACGTCGACACCACGCGTTTCTACAGCGAGCTCGAGAAGATTGGCCTGCGGTACTCGGGCGACTTCGTCTTTGAGTCTGCCCAGCGCCGTCTCGGCCTCGCCACCGCCGTCATTAACCGCCCGGCCGCCAACGCCGACCTCATTGTGCACCCGGCGACACTCGACGCTGCTTTCCAGGGCGTCATGGCCGCCTTCTGCTTCCCCGGTGATGGCCGCATGTGGACGAGCTACCTGCCCACGGGCATCCGTACCGTTCGCGTCAACGTGGCTGCTGCCCGTCTGCGCCAGCAGGAGCACGCCGCCGATCCGGCCAATGTCTCCCAGGCCGTCGCCGACTGCTACCTGAGCGATGCCACGAGCAAGGTCATCGCCGGCGATCTCGACCTCTTCAACGCGCGGGACAGCCGCTACTGCGAGCTGCAAATCACGGGCCTCACTTGCTCGTCCTTCACCAAGCCTGGCCCCAAGAACGACCGCCAGACGTTTTCGAAGATGGTCTGGCGCCCGCAGGTCGCGTCCGGCATCAGTCCCGAGGACCAGCCCGAGGTGCTCGATGCGATGTTCGAGCACATCAACACACTCGACCGCACGTCGGTGTACTTTTTGCGCCGCCTCGTTGAGCAGGTGTCCGAGGAGGAGTTTGCTGCGGCCGAGTGGCAGTTCCAGAGTGTGCTCGGCTGGGCCAAGAACTACTTGCTGCCCAAGATCGACTCGGGCCAGCACCGCCGCCTCAAGCCCGAGACCGCCCACGATACCCCCGAGATGGTCGCAGAATGGCTGCAAAAGTACGGCGACGGCGTCGACATGGAGCTGGCTTGGGCTGTCGGCACAAACCTGCCTGCCATGGTCCGCGGCGAGGTCCCTGTCCTGCAGGTTCTCATGGAAAACAACCGCCTCAACCGCCTCTACAAAGACGGTGTAGGCCTCGACCTGGTCTACCGCCAGTTCAACACCCTCATCGCGCAGATGAACCATGAGCATCCCGGCCTACGCGTGCTTGAGATCGGCGCCGGCACAGGGGGTGCGTCGGTGGGTGCTATCAGGGCCATCTCGCCGCACTTCACCTCGTACACGTACACCGACATCTCCCCCGCGTTCTTTGAAAAGGCCAAGACCCAGTTCACGCCCGAGGAGCTCGCCAAGATGGAGTTCCGTGTACTGGACATTGAGCGCGACCCCATTGAGCAGGGCTTCGATCCGGAGGGCTACGATTTGGTCCTGGCCTCCAATGTACTGCACGCCACCCAGTACCTGTCGCGCACCCTGGCCAACTGCCGCAAGATCACCAAGCCCGGCGGCCGTATGATCGTTATTGAGATCACCGGTGACGCAGTGTACACGTCCTTCATCATGTCGGGCCTGCCAGGCTGGTGGCTTGGAAAGAACGATGGCCGCATCTACGGGCCGCTTGCCAGCGAAGCGCACTGGGACGATCTCATGCAGGGTGCCGGTTTCTCGGGCGTCGATGTGTCGTGCAGCGACCTCGACGATTTCTACGGCCTCGTCATGAGCACACAAGCCGTCGACGACCGCATCGCTCTGCTGCGCGAGCCGCTGTCTGTCGGCACATGGGACCGCGCCCCGGCTGCCGTCGCAGCGGCGCCGGTGTCCTCACTCGTTCTTGTTGGTGGCAAAACGCTAGCTGTCAACCGCGTCACCCAGACCATCCGCCGTCTCCTGCGCCCGCTGGGTACCACTGCCGTGCTCGTGCCAGACATTGCTGAAATTGGGACGGTCGACCTAGCCAATGCCGCTGTTTTGTGCCTGGCCGACCTCGACGAACCCATGTTCAAGTCCATGACCGAGCCCAAGTTCAAAGGCATGCAGACCATGATCCTCGAGTCTGCTGCCCTGCTCTGGGTCACAAAGAACCGCCGCACCGCCGAGCCCTATTCCAACATGGCGGTCGGTATGGCGCGTGTCATCGCCTTGGAGTCGCCGCATCTGGTCATGCAGTTCCTGGATGTCGACAGCTTTGTGGGCGGCTTTGGCAGTCAGGGCACCACTGAGGCCACCCTCTTCGCCGAGGCCCTGCTGCGCCTCGTGTACCTTAGCAGCCCTGACTTTGCTGACGTCTTCTGGGTCCGCGAGACAGAAATGTGCATCGAGAATGGCCGCGTCTTTGTGCCTCGCATTATGAAGGACGATGAGCTCAACGACCGCCTCAACGCTGACCG